TTAAGTTATGTGTTATTGTTATGGTGCAGATTTTGATGATTCATTATTATTGAAAACACAAAATATGGTTTACTTTGCAAAAAAAATCAAAGAGAATCATTGAATAGAAGCAAAATTTGTGATATGTTGAGCTCAAAAATGTGCTTGGAATGTTGGAGATTATTTTATTTTATATAATATAATAAATATTAAGGGTTAGACTTTATAATATTTTTAGATATTATCTTGTTGAATTTTTTATATATAAAACTAATAAATAAGCTTTGTGTTAAAAGTGTATATACATATATAACTATAATTAATACTATTTCAAATTTAGTTAAAACATTTTCTCTAAATTCGAGTTTAGTTTTGATTTACTAAAATATAGCTTTAAATTTACATTAATACAAATTTTCATTTTACATATAAAAGATTATAGTTTTCATTAAAAATAGAAAAATGGTAATTTTCAAAGCATAACTCAAAAACAGGGTAGTTTTCAAAATGATCCCCACAAAAAATCATTTTACATATTAGATTATTACATTAATTACAATAAAACTAATGTATATGTTTATGAACTAAATAGGACAAACATGTCCTTTGTTTGAAAGACAATAAAACTAATGTATTCGAGAGGAATTATGGGAAGGCGGATCGAAATGCAATGCATCATATAAATCTTTGGGTAGGAAAGAAGAATATTGTAGACAACTTTTTGGTTTTGATTTTTGGTGCTGCAAATACCGTTTCTAGTTTCCAGATTCTCCCATGTCTGAGTTCTCCTAATAATTTATAATTTAATATGTGTTTTCAAAATTATATGAATAAAAATATATCCAAACTGAGATATTTACATCTTTTTATCCAAGTCCTATGTAAATCGAATTATTTGTTCACTAATGTACAAGTCTCCATGAGGCATGAAGCACAGCTTCCCACTACTTAACCTTCACCTAATTCCCTCATTTATCATCCCATTTTTTCCACTTTAATGTTCACATACCAAATATCACATCCTTTCAAGTTTTCAGAGATTTTATTGTATCAATTTCACAATTTCGATGAAAATCAAATGCCCATTGTTACGGTTTTTATGTTTAAAATTTTATTTGAGGTATGAAAGATAACGAAATTTTATTTACCCTCAATTGTCTTTTTATATGGTTTGGTAGTGGGTATGGTTAGTTTTATGTTTCGTTTTGTTTAGAACAAAATGCCGTTTTATTTAGAGACAAACAGACTTGACTCACAATCTCACATTACCAAACTGATATTAAATTTCCTATTGTAGTAAAGAATCTTAAAAATCTATGACCATTTATATTATTTAAATTTGATAAATAAATGAAAAAAGAAATTGATTTTATGATGAATCTGAATTATTATTTTTTGTAAATTAGATAGTCGAGGATCTAAATATTAGCTCTACAAGGTAGGTAAAAACGTGAATGCGAATATTCAAAAATCAAAAGCCAATGAATTGCAAAATAACGTTCTTCGAAAATATAGTAATGCTTTCGATGTTGTCCATTATTACAAAGCTTAAAATTTGTGTAAGATAATTAAACTTAACTTCGTTTAGAATTTGGTCTAGATAAAAATTTTAATGGGACAAAAACATTTGACATAAGCGAAATACGCCAAACGATAGCATCCGAGAACTTTTCTATGGTTTATAAAATATAAAATATTATGTGATGATTTGTAGGGTCGGTAGACAAGTCTTTAAAATCTTCCGAATATAATGCACCGGCCGTCGAAAAATGGTAGGCCCACAGGCCGAAAGAAAACGTGGTGGGGTCCATTAACAATGGCGGTCAGAACGTTTTAGAATATATTTGATTATTTTGGGTCTAAATATACAAGATCATTTTCTTAATTCATGTGGTTTGTCGCATAGTGATCCCAATTCCATATGAACTTTACCAAACTAATAATAAATTTCCTATTGTAGTAAAAATTCTTAAAAATCTATGACCATTTATATTATTTAAATTTGATAAATAAATGAAAAAGAAATTTATTTTATGATGAAATGTGAATTATTATTTTTTTTTGTAAATTAGATAGTCGGGGATCTAAATATTAGCTCTACAAGTAGGTAAAAATGTGTATGCGAATATTCAAAAATCAAAAGTCAATAAATTGCAAAATAACGTTTTTCGAACATATAGTAATGCTTTCGAAGTTGTTCATTATTACAAGGCTTAAAACTTGTGTAAGATAATTAAACTTAAGTTCGTTTAGAATTTGGTCTGGATAAAATTTTTAATGGGACAAAAACATGGAACCTATAAATAAGAAATCATGTGACATAAGCGAAATACGCCAAACGGCAACTTCCGATAACTTTTATATGGTTTACAAAATTAAATTTATAAATACTAAAACAAAAATCTATGTAAGAAAAATAAATTCCATCGGTTTGATATATGTTTAATTATATAGTGTTGCATAATTTACTACATTAAGATTCTTTCTAGTTTTATCATATTCTTAAGAATTTTATTTAATGTTTTGTTGTACCTTCCAATGGTATCTTTTAATTTCGTGTTATCTTTTATAATATGCTATTGCTATATTATAGGTATGGAGTGAAGGGTCAGAATTAACTTTTAGATACGTTTTATGAACCTTTGCAAAACTTCAAAAAGTCAATGGTCATGAAGAAACTTTGGCTTCAGTTTCTTTGATTTTTTTTAGCGTTGATAGTCGCTCCCCTCTACTAATACATATTTCGTACTTCTAAATAAACAAATACTTTATGTTCCAAAGGACATCGTATGATCGGAACAGCCTGTAGTTTTTGATACTATTGTACTAATATTTTTGTATATTTCACTAATAAAGTTTTCTTTTAATTGCTTTCTTATAATTTATCAACGATTATTTCATGGACAACCTGGAGACATGATTGGGGAAAAGTCAAATCTTTATTTTTTATCACAAGTTGCATATAATTTTTTTTATTTTGTGTCATTCTTAATCGTAGAAATTGTATATATCGTGGGTGTTTATGTGAAAATATGGTGCTAATTAATTTAATTTTCTTTGAGCACATATATATAAATACACACGTATATGTCATAGCAATCACATTATCACAACAAAGGCAAAACCAAAAAAAAATTGAAAGAAGTTAAAAAAATGCCTCCTGACGAAGAAAAAGGGGTGATATGTCGTCTCTCTGATCTAGCTCATCCTCACACCCTCTCCCGTCGAGACGGCATAAACCTTACAGCTGGTTGTTTTACTTGCAAGGCCCCCAAAGACATGACAACCAATGAAGAGTTCTATTATTATTGTACCACATGTGATGTAGAATTCCATAATCGTTGTCACTTGTTGCCAAGGAAGATGACACACCCATCACCCTCAACATCCCCTCATTCTCAGTCTTCGAAACGATGAAACCGAAATCATACATGACGCATTCGATGAGGGATTCCTCGCTGACTCCGGTAACATGTTCGATAACTGCACTTGGTGTGGAGAAAATATGGTACGCTATCAATACTTCTACAGATGTTCTATCTGTATCTTTTGTTTGGATCCTCCTTGTTCCCGAAAGATTCCACCTCATACTATTAAAAATCCTAAAATCCATCACCATCCACTCATTTTCCTTCCTAGGCCACTTTTGCTTCCATGTGATGCTTGTGGGTTGATAAGACGATCAGAGCCAAGTTATGCTTGTTTTCAGTGTAATTATGTGGTCCATAGGGGTTGTATAAACTTACCACTCGTCATAAAACTCACCCGTCACCGGCCCTCATCGTCTTTTTCATACTCCTTTTCTTTCACCCACAATTTCATCGTCGTGTCGTCTTTGTTATAAAACAGTTGATATCAAGTATGGCTTGTATTCTTACAATCATTCCAAATGTGCTACACATAAAACAATATGGGAGAGAACTCGAATGGGAACCCGAAGAATATGGCGAAATTGAAGATGTTGCACCATTCAAGAAAGTTGGTGATGATTTGATAAAATACTTTTCTCATGAACATCATCTAAAGCTCGAGAAGTACGATGGAGTTCGAGATGCGGACAAGAGATGTCAAGCCTGTATCCTTCATATCGACTCTCGCAATTTCTACAGCTGCTTGCAATGTGATTTTTCTCTCCACGAGGTCTGCGCCAATCTTCCTCGAAAAATAGATCATGCATTACATCATCACCCTCTTCTCCTAGACCCAGCTCCTTCAGAGATACACTACTCCAACGTGTGTTTGGTTTGTTCTCGAGCGTTTAGTGGTTTCAGGTATAAGTGCGCCAAAAATAATTGTGAAGAGTCCAGTTGCACAGATTTCCAGGTAGATGTTGGATGCATCTTAGTTCCTGATTGTTTTACCCACAAAATTCATGAACATCCCTTATTTATCCCCATCTATGCTCTCTACGCGGAAAAGATTAGGTGTCAGGGTTGCGGGTGCAATTGTATTGGTTCCTATATACGGTGCACTTTATGTGAATTTGCAATGTGTTATGACTGTGCCACCACTCCAGATAAACTACACTACAAGTATGATACACTTCCTCTCTCCCTCTGTTATGGAGAAATCTCGGATCAAACATATTGGTGCGAAGTATGTGAGGAAAAACTAGATCCAAGCAAATGGTTCTATACATGCGACAAATCTGACATCACTATCCACCGTAGTTGCGTATTTGGGAACTTCGCATATATGAAGCCAGGCTACATGTTCTACTACAAATCTTTAAGTATAAAAATCTTATGCAACGATAGTAACACTGGACCATTTTGCCATAAATGCGGAAACCGCTGCTCGAGTACTGTATACTTCAAGCTTTCTGATGAGAGGGTTATTTGTTCTTTCTATTGTTTAGGACTCACATTGTATTAAAGTTGGCATAAACTTATTTTGTGGAGTGTTGGATCTGTGTGTGTGTGAGTGTGAGTGTTGTCATGTATATGCTTCTTTTCCTGCCATACTTGCTAATGCTACATATCTAATTATGGTCATGGCTTCTTGGCATTACTGATTCATTGATTTGTGCAAATATTTTATAAGCCAACAATATCATGTAATAAGCCTCTAATTTGCTTTGGCTGTTAAAAACGAGAGGGATTCTCAATTCCCATGGCTGCTTCTTGGAGTGTCTCTCACGGCAAAGTTCTTCAGCCTAGAAAACCCGTCTATGAGAAGCTCGAGCTCAACTGCAAAGGTGATACGTAGCTAGTTCCTAAGCCCAACAACTCGACCTGCAAGCTAGAACCCCATCGATTATCAATTATTTTAAGTGCCCATAACTATCAACAAAGCTAGTTAACAAAACTATAATATTACCTGGCAAAATGATTATAGATTCCTTAGCCACCTTGAAGCAGAACTCCAAATCATCATTGATATCTTCAAGTAGAGAAAGGTTTAACTTCACTTGCACCGACAAAGGGATTAGCCTTAGAGCTTGAGCTTGAGCAATTCTCGTCGACTCAATACCATTGCGAACATTTACCCCTCTGGTTAACGTTTGCAGGGGCAAGTGATGCAAGGAATTTTCATAATCTGTTCGTAATAAATCTCTGCACATTTTTTCACCATTTCGAGTTTTGATGCGAAGAATTCTTCCTTTGTATTCCCAATGATATCAGGCATTGCACCCTGCCTCGGACCAAAAAAAAAATCAATTTTCTTTAAAACATTAGCCATGATTCAACACCAATGCATATTATTAACATACCTGAATAAACGTTGCTGGATCCTTGGACATGTTGACAACATGGATAAGGGTCTGAACCCCTGTTCTAAAAATCCCCAAATTTTATAAAGTCTAGCCCAAACGTTTACTCGGCTTTTTCTACTTCGTGATCTTTGCGTTTAATTGTTCTTTGTTTCTGCAACATTTTCTTGGCAGAAAAAGGGCCAATGATGGTGGGTTTGAGGAAATGATGACAAAGATATGGTTTTTATGTTTGAAATTTGATTTGAGATATGGAAGATAACGAAAAAAATTTTTACCCTCAATTGTTTTTCTATATGGTTTGGTAGTGGTTATGATTAGTTTTATGTTTCGTTTCGTATAGACCAAAATGCGGTTTTATTTAGATACAAACAGACTTGACTCACAGTCTCACATTAAAGCTTATCAGCTGGAATTCAAGATTATGCTGTAAAATTGAACAGTCTAGGAGGAGATGATTCTATCTATAACAAGGAATAAGCCTATCAACAACATTCTAATTGGTTACAGCAGAAGCCATGGCTAAGGTGTACTTATGCTTAAGGTAAGCTTTGATGAAAGGGTCCAAGTCACCATCCATTACAGATGTGATATCAGAAGTTTCATGACCTGTTCGGACATCTTTAACCAGTTTGTACGGATGAAACACGTAGTTCCTGATCTGCTGTCCCCATTCAGCTTTCACTGCATCTCCTCTTATTTCCTTGATTTCAGTCGCACGTTGCTCCTCCGCAATCACCAACAGTTTCGCCTTTAGTCTGATCAGAGCTCTCGTCTTGTTCGCCAGTTGACTTCTCTCCTCTGAGATATCCAACATGAAAAATGGAATTACAAAGAGCAGAATGTATATACTTTGAAGCCCTAGGGATCGTTAATGGATAATACGGGCTATTCAGGTCGAACATTCGTGGGGATGAAAGACAAACCTGTGCAACGGACAGCAACACCAGTGGGGATGTGAGTAATTCGAACAGCAGTTTCAACCTTGTTGACATTCTGTCCTCCTTTTCCACCCGCCCTCGTGAAACTAATGTCAAGGTCCTCCTCTGGTATTTCAATTCCCACTGCTTCCTCAGGCAGAAGCGGCATCACTTCCACACCGGAAAAGCTTGTCTGCGTGCAAATACCAATATAAGTGTATAGCACACAACCACATATGCTTTTGGAGCTCATAGTGTAGCTTATCTTACCTGTCGAAGGCCTTTCGAATTGAATGGTGATTGTCGAACAATCCTATGAGTTCCTTTCTCCCCTGAAATGTAACCATACGCATAACGCCCTTCAATTTCAAGGGTCGCTGACTTAATCCCTGCCTCTTCTCCATTAGACATTTCAACAACTTTTGTCTTGTACCGTTGCTTCTCTCCCCATCTCATATACATCCTAAGCAGCATATCGGCCCAATCCTGCACTGGAAGTTATCATTTTTTTAAAGGAGCTCAATTAACATCACAAATACACACAAAGCCTCTAAGTAAATTACAAACACTCCATGATTATCTCATTGATATGAAGTCAGTCTATACGCCTATAACATTACGAAAGGAGTCTCAAATATAATAACCTGTGCATCTGTTCCTCCAGCTCCAGCTGTAATGTAGACAACAGCACCTTCTTTGTCATAAGGTCCTGATAAAAGCTGAGTTAGCTCAAATCGATCCAAAGATTTATTCAACTCTTTAATGATTCCCATTGCTTCTTCAAGTAAACTAACATCAGTAGAGTCCATCTCTTCCGTTAGTTTAACAATCGTTTCCGCATCTTCAACCTGCATCAAAAGCAACAACACATTATCTCAACGCCTCGCCAAAAAAACCGTAATTCAACATCATAACATAAACATAGATATGGAACAATACCATGGTTTTGAACTCAGAGAGCAACCTCATCCGATCTTTAAGATCGTTTAAAGCCGATAACGTTTCTTGAGCTTTAGTACGATCATCCCAAAAAGATGTATCAGTAGCTTTTGATTCCAAATTAGCAATCTCTTGTTCTAATTGCTCTAAACCAGCAGATGCTCTAATCTCTTCAACACGAGCTGATGCTATTTCAACATCTTTCCTCAATGTATAAAAATCTATCACCAATGATACAAAAGAAAGCATAAACACAAGAAATCAGATTCACTGGGAAATATGTTCATGGATCAACGTACCTTGCATCAGCCACTCACTGGTTTCATTTTCATTCGATACACTCAAGTTACTCTCCTGTGCAGCGAATACTACTGACACAAAATTCGAAGAGATTGTTTACAGAAATTCGAAATCGAAGCTTGAAATTGTAGTGATAGGGAGAGGAGAACTTACTGGATGAACGGAGACGGCATGACGAAGAAGAAGAAGAGAAATGGGGAAGAGAAAGCGGGAGTGAGAGACGGAGAAGAGGGAGATTGGTTGGTTGAAGAAGTAGAAGATTGGGTTTTGCGGTGATTGCGAAACTCCGACCGGCGAGAGGTCCGAGAACGGTGAGCACCATGGACAATTCTTCTGCTCAAAGCGTTTCTTCAAATTTCTGACCTTTGCGAAGTTGTTATCCATACAAAGCAAGCAGCCACGTCATCAATTCTAATTATAAGAGTTAAATTGTGGAATGTATTTAAAAATTGTTTTTAATGGTAACATGTACAAAACATTACAAAGTATACAGATTTTAAATTTATCAATCATAAAAACGATATTAAAAACAATATAAAAAATATATATTGAGTTTTTTTTTTTTTTACAGTTTTCTCTAACTACTAGTTTATTGTATAGTTGTTTTTAACTATTTATTAAAAGCTTACCGCTCTAATTAATACCTCAAAAATTTATAAAAATTTATGTTATTAATCGGATCCAAAATAATATTTCATTTAGTCATCTTTTAAATTTTTTTTATTATCAAAATCATATGTTACTGATTCAAAATGATTTATACATTCCAATAACTAAAGGTCTATATTATTCGTTTAGTGATTTTTTTTTGTCAAATAAAGCAGCAGTGAACCAATTAAAATAAATTCATTTTTCCCGTTCAATGATTTATAAATTAATTAAAATACACTAACCAATAAAACAATGTATTAACCAAGAAGTGAAGATGAAGTAACCATGGACTATGAGATGTTTAAACAATCTTGGATTGAAGGAGGTAAATTTTTAGACTAATTCTCAAATCATACTACATGTATTGGGAGATCTTTATTTGTGGCTGCGGCTGAGCAATTGAACATTTGATAATTTGAACATATAAAAAAAAAAAAAAAATTCTAAACCTACATTCTAGTTTCAGAGAAAACAAGCCAATACGTGCCTAAAATTCCATCTCTATAGGATTATTAGAGGTCGTTATTGGATCATGCATTTTAATCTATATGAGATTTAGAAATCTTCATTGGTTTTAAAATTAGACTTGTGGAGTTTGAAATAAAATGGTTTACGGAGGCTTTGATCCTTTGTATTTTAACATCCAAATCCATTAAAATCCAACAACAAATCACTAAACGAATAACATATGATTTTAGCCAATATTTATAAATCATGGAACCAACAACAAATGATTTTGGTAAGAATTTAAAATCGATGATAAAATAACACATAATTTTGTTAGGATTCAATTAAAAGCACCGAAGTTCGAGTTTACCTTTTTGCGAAACAATTGAGTAAAAATATCAATGGTCATGTTGACAAAAAGTTGTGGAATCTTGCCTTGAGGGCTTTTTTCCTACCTATTTATTTTGCTCATTTAGATTGTAATATTAGCTCATACTTTGTTAATATAACCATAAACATCTGAGAAATTCAGTACATTCTTTGAAAGTGGCCCGACAAAGAAACAAACTATCATCGGTAAAGAGAAGATGTTGAATTGATGGACAGCTTTGTGTAAGTCGCAGTCCTGTTAACCAGCCTTCTTGTTCTGCTTTATTCATTATGTGCACTAGAGCTTCAGCGCAAATGATAAATAAAAATGGTGAGAGCGCCTTGGCGAATTCCTCTTTCCGGTTTAATAAATCCATAAGAGGATCCGTTAATGAGCACCGAATAGGTGACCGACCGGACACAGCTCATTGTCCATTGTACCCAACGGATATCAAAACCCAATCGTATAAGTAACTAGAGAGAAACCCACGCGATGCGTGGGATACTGATTAAAAATATAATTGCAAAATAAATAATACAATAATAGGTTTTGATGTCCTTCCAAATAATTATACATGAATTTGTTTAATACTTTAGTTATTCCTTTTGTTATCAGTTTAAGAATTTTGTTATAAAGAAAGGTACAGTATGTATAGAGTGGCTAAAAATAGAAAGTATTGGCATATACATTATGAAATTTATTTCGAATGTAAAAATTAGTATGTAATAAACTTTTTTTAAGGAAAAATGTCAACAAAGAATAAAAAGTAGACGTTTTTTGGAAAAGAAAAAATACCCATCTTCCAACGAAAAAATCAGTGATCATAATCTCAAATATTAGATTTTATCCTTCAACTCTATCATCATCTCCTCCTTTTTTTCTATAACAAAATGAAGCACACTCCTCTCTCTGTGCTGGTATACTCAAAAAGATCAAAGCCTGCAGGGTCAGAATAATGGAATTTCATGCTTGTTTGAGTAATAGCAATGAGATTCCCCAATATCATGCAGTGTAGATAAGGTTTGGCCATTAATTCTAATTTAAAAATGAGCTCGTCATGAAGTTTTTAACTTCTTTTTCACGATATGTGGTCCTTTTTCTTTGTCTTTACATGCTCAAAAAAAAATCCTATATTTTGTCTTTGTTTTTTTTTTTCATCATTCAAAGTTATCAGAAAAATTAAAATAGTTTAGAAATAGATTTCATATTATCCCTTCACTTTATAATTGCAAGACCTTATTATTATATTTTATTTTTGAAAATGCACTTTTTGGTGTGCCATTTTTAAAAAATGTCCCATTCTTTTGTGTATTTTCAAAAATACGTCTCATTAAACCTGAAAAGGTTATGAGGTTTAATGAAATAAGTATTACTCAAGCCTCGATCTAAGTATTTATAAAGTTTTATAACGTATTTATATAACATATATATAAGATTTTATAAGATATGTATAGGATTTTATAAGGTATGTATAAGTTTTAATCATGTATTTATACATATACATGTAGTTTTGTATGCTTTATAATGTTACATACGTACTTAGGTAAATCTTAGATTTTTAAGGAAATTTTAAAAAAGTTTTACCTAGGTTGTATTTTTGAAAAGAGGTATTGGAAAAAAGCATTTCTAACAATTCCTCAATTTATAATGTCATTTTAATAATTTTATTACATTTTGCTTCTCGAATAGTATTCATTTATGTAATGATTTATAGTTAAATTAAATATGAAATAATATTTTAAAATAAACTACTATAAGATAATCTGTTGTTAATTGTTTAATATAAATTTGTGGGAAATAAGGTAAAATGTAGAAAAAGACAACATTAAAAGAATACTTGATTTAGTGATATATGCGTTATAGAACATGTTGAGAATGAATTTTAAGTTTTTAAGTAAAATCTTTTTAAGAAAATAGAATGGCAATGATCTTATAAAAATGTATACGTACATCTTTCATTGTTCCATTTCAATTTGAATCTATATATACATTTTCGAAGTACAAATATAAAATAAATCTTTGAGTTGGCACTTATTTACAAGAGAATGTCATTGTTATAAATGTTTATCTATTAATTAATAATACAAATTATTTTCGAAATAATTTTTTAGAAATTGTGGCTTCTAAATATGGTAACAAATTGATTTTGTTTCTAAATTTGATTAATTGCTAATTTCCTAAAACTTCTCTACCTAATTTAAACAGTAATATATGATTCTTCTTTCACTTTTATATGATCTTATATTTAATTTATTTCGAATTTATGTAAAATACATATAATTAATAAAATAATATATTTTTTTGCATATAATAAGATTCAAAATTTAAAAAACGGACATATATTACTCAATCGATGAAGAAAAAATATGTATTCAATGTCCCACATTGCTTAAAAATTTGGGCAATGGTTCAGAGTCATACTATAAAAGGACCAAATGATTCTGAATACAAATGAGAAAGAAGCTTGATTTATCAGACGTCCAAAACTAAAATTGTTATTCGGTTTAATCCGGTTCGTTATTTTATTGAAACTTTTAAGAAATTTCAAAATATTATAAATATTTAAATTTTATTAAAACTTAAATATTATAGTCATTTAAACGTTTGTAAAATTCAACTTTATAAAACGTTTCAAATATTTGTATAACTAAAACTTTTATGAAGTTTCAAATATGAATATTTGAACTTTATAAGAATTTATAAGAAGTTTAAACATTATAAATAATTAAACTTTAAAAAATGTTTAGAGTATTTATAATATTTAAGTTCTATAAAAAGTTTATAATATTTGAACTCTATAACAATTAAATATATATATCTATATATATATATATTATGTCAACCATTAAAAGCAAAGTTTTAAATTGACTCGAATTATATGTCTTTTAAATAAAACTATTATTAAAAAGAAAATAACAAAATGCTGTTTTATTTTATGGGACGGAGTTATATGATGGGACGAGTTTGGGTCGATATTAATACGGGACGATGTAGCACGGGTGAAATCCTAGAATTAAAAATAAAAATATAATGATATTATTTTAAACACTAAACAAACCAAACAATATTAACAAAACAAATATAACTTAAAATTTAAGTTTTTAGTTTTAAAAAATATATCCGCAATATACTTCGGGGTAAAAATTTTAGATACAAAATAATATCAAATTATTATAATAGTCCATGATTATAAATGGTTGCCAATATTAACACTACATCACTTCTACACCTACAAATCTTCTAAGTACATGAATACAAATTAACACATTTAAGTAAACAAATACAACAACTCAAAAACAATAATCATATATTTCAACTATATTAATTATAATATAAATAAGTAAATGAGAAATAATTATTTTATAGTATGAATTTAAAAATCTAATAAATTATAAATTATTATATAAAATACAGAAAATACAATTTTGCTCCGCGGTGTACCGCGGGTTAAATCCTAATTCATTTGGTATTTTTGATTTTTCCACGATAAAATAGATAAAAAGTAAATATCACAGCTATGAGGAATTTATTTTATATCTTACCAGACCCGGCTCAATAAATTTTAACGAATCAATGTGTCATTTTTTTACTATTCATATTTTGACAACATGAACAAAACAAATGCACAAAATAATTATTAGTCATCACTAACACCAATCTACAAAAAGAAATCATGTTTTAGCTAATCAACACGAAACTAAGAAATGCATTGTACCAACTGGATATCATGTTACTTTTTGCTGGATCATATTTTAAAAATATTTAAAAGTAAACAATACTTAAATGAGAACATACATATCCAAGAGCATAATTTCTTGACGATCCAACCTCAAATTCAGCAGTGTCGTTTATGTTCTACAACACAATTGTTGGCTAGAATGAAG